AAAAGTAGAAGAACAGATTTAATATAATAATAATAATAATTGTAATGTAATAAAAGGGGAAAAATATCAACTTTTCAATAACAAAGGCAAAAACAAATTTTTCAGTTATAACCCCATAATCAAGTTTTTTTTTCAAATCAGCATAAAATAAAAACAATAGAACAGATACTAGCATTTACAATTGAAATAAAATTAGTTTATTATTAATGATAATAATAATAATAATAATAATAATAAAATATTTAATAGTAAATATTTAATATATTTAATTAAATTATATTAAAAAGAATACTAAAATAAAAAATGTTAAATAATAATTTTTTAGGAAATAAGAATGAGACTTTTTTGCATTGCAGTAATTAGAACACACTCACACACACACACAACTGGCAGTGTAAAATGACAGTCATGTTTTCCAGCGTTTAACATCATCCCTTTCATTGTATGGAAATTACCATTTTCTGTTCAGTATTAAAAAGTCATGGGAGTTCCTAGCATTGTTTTGCTAAAAATTTAGCAAAAACAAAAATTTTTGCTAAAAACTTTTATTAAGAGAGATGGTCAGATATTTGGGAATCGTGGTTGAAGTGGTATCCGAAAATAATGTCAGATTCAAACTCATATCACCCCCATGGCTCAAAGTGTTTCTTTATGGTAAGCCACAGCTCTGACTACTAATCAACATTAACCCAAAGATTCAACATTTCCATAACACAAATCAAGCTTAAAACTCTCGAGCTCCAATTGACCCATATTATCTAAGTTAAAACAGCACACAATCAAAGCATGGATTGATAGCAGACCACAAACATCTGTTGCTGCTTGCAGCTGATGTTTTGAAACACATAAATCAATAGCGTGATCAGTAAATCACACTCGCTACTGTCACAATATTATGCATTAGTCTGAGGGAAGTCAGAAGGGCTGAGGCTTTCGTTGAAGCAGCATGAAATGCCTGCTCGTATCTGCATGCGAAATGTAATTATGGAATCACCCAAGTGAGCTGGGCCACACATCTGCCACAGCATCTGGCGGGCTCTCATCTCGACTTGCCCGCTCCGTTCTGTACAATTCAAATTCCATGCCTACAAGCACATTAACGCAGATTACAAAGCGCTCAGTCTCTACTTAAGGTTCATTCTCCGCTCAGGGGACGATAGAGGAGATTTGTGTCTTTTAATTTTGCAGATTGCCGTGCGTTAGTCTCAAATGAGATGCATTTGCATGAAAGGCTGATAAGGCTTTCCAGGTTTCGAAAAGATGGATGAAAGCCGATATGTTACTGTATCTGCGGTAACACAGATTTGGCATTTAATCGTGAATTGAAGCAGACAAAATTCCTTCAGAATCACAAATGCATGAAAATATGGTTAATTGTCAATCATTAGCTTCAACTTCAGGGTAATAAGATCACCGCCTTTACAGAAGAGAAAAACTTTAAACATCTTCTAACAATTCTAATGCTAAAATGTACAAAAACCCCACTATAAAAATAAATAGGTATACTTTATATACAATTAACATTTTGTTTTTAATCAGCATAAATTAATATCAGTACAACAAATATAACCATGATGTGTAAATACTTTGAAACTTTCAATTTAAACATTATTTATAATAATTATTATTATTAAAAATAAAGAATTATTTTAAGAAAATAAAAAAAATTATTTATAAAATTATTTTAAATGATTATTTATACAAGGTAACAAAATTAGATTTATTTATTTTTGCATTAAATTAATGAGAATTAATGGGAAATTTGGCTTTTTGTTAGAAAAATAACATTAAAAATCTAAATCTCAACCATCCTAAAATAGGCTTAATTTCCTTTATTGAAAATACACTCTTAAAAATAAAGGTGCTTCACGATGCCATAGACCTATATATAGACCATAGAACCTTTTTGTCTAAATGGTTCCATAAAGAACCTTTAACATCTGAAGAACCTTTCTGTTTCACAAAAGGTTCTTTGTGGTGAAAGAAGGTTCTTCAGATTATAAAAAGGTAAGAAAGAGATGATTCTTTAAAGAACCTTTGACTGAATGGTTCTTTGTGGAACCAAAAATGGTTCTTCTATGGCATCGCTGTGAAGAACCTTTTAAGCACCTTTATTTTTAAGAGTGTATAATCCCTGTATTTCCTTTGATTTTGGGACAAAAATATGATAACATATGCTGGATTCATTTTCACCCCTAAATGCATCTCATACACTCTTCTCAACTTTTGATACAGACACTTTAATTTGGTGGGCAGTCCACCCAAAAATGAAAATTCTTTCATCATTTACTGATCCTTATGTTGTTCAAAACCCGTATGACTTCCTTCTGTGGAAGATATTTTGAAGAATGTTGGTAATCAAATATTGGAAGTCAATGTGAACTGAAACTGTTTGGCAAATGAATTAAAATTTTTGGGTGGACTATCCCTTTATAATTGTGTCCCATTTGCATGCGGTGTCATCTCCATTCTAGTTACAAAGAAAAAGTAGGAGGGAGGCAGAGAGAGAGAGAGATCTGCTAGATTTTGAAGTGAGCTGAGAAGCTGGTCGGGGTGGACAGACAGGTAGGAGATGAGCCAGTGCGGGCAGTGAGCCTGCAACTCTGACACGTCCTGCTGTGGCTCAGCGGTGAACTAAGACAGCCCATCACTTCACTGTCAGCACTCTGACCCCCTCTCTTTCTCGCCGGCTCCCCCCCACACACAAGCCATTGGCTTTGAGTCCAAGTAGAAGGACCCCCCACCCTTCATGCCTGGACCCCCTCTCTTCTGTGTGAGTGATGGCCTGAATGATGACTCTGACCCCAAACCCTGGACCGACCCAGAGTCTCACCACCAGCCTCACACAGTCATTCTCTCAAAGCCAGAAAGAATGAATGATAGCTCAGGTTCTTTAGAAAAAACTTCTGCCAGTTTTACAGCATACAGTCATGATGAATATCACCAGTAATTCACAAACAATACTTTTTTTCTTTTGTAAAACAAGCTGCTAACTTAAAGTTTTTTTTTTCCTTTTAACTTGTGAATTAAATTCAGTCTTCTGAAGCTAACAAATTATGTATGGCACCTATGGCGCAGGTTTGACATTTGGGAAAAAACGAACTTTGCATTGTTGTGAAAAGATCAAATTTCCGGATATTTTAAAGTAGCGATGTAATGGAAGTAGCAAGAGATCTTTTCTTCTAAATTGTGACGTACATCCGAGTGAAACACATTATTGATAAAGAAAAAATGTAGGGCGGGGACTTGGTTGTTTCCATTGGTCTGATTGGATGGAGGCAGATCTAAATGAGAGTCAAATAAAAGAAAGGGGCGGAGTTATATGGACAATTTTTTGGAGAAGTCTAGCAAAAGTTACCAGAGAGAGGTCTTTAATTTCACTTGAATATTCCGTTTTGACATTTTGATTAACAATGATGAATGATCAAGTTTAAAAAATGCACATTAAACAAAAAGGAAAAAGCATGCATGAATCGTTTAAAATAAGATAAATAACATGCATTTTTTTGTAGTCATGTTTTTAGAAAAACATATTTAGACATTTTTAAACTTAATTTATAGTCTTTTAAAACGGACCCACTTTGAAATTGAATTTGAATTCACTACTTTAAAAATTCTAATTATAAGACAAGCATATTGTATATGCATAAATTGCATTTTTTATATCTTCTGTAAAAAAATTTAGATCTGGACATGTTGCTGAAGTAGTATAACTAAGAATCTAATGTATCCAAAAAAATTGAAAAATCTTATTTCATATCTATTACACCCTTCTGGCCAGGGCAAAAGTTTTCACAGAGACAGGAATATGAAGACAAGACTTTTTCATATTTTCCCTGTCTCTACTCATTAGCAAGCTTTACCGCTCTTCTTCATTCTTTCCCTCCTCAGTGGCGTATCCTCTCTCTTGCATATGGCTTCACTCTGTGAAGAGGACTTCCCGCCGTCAGCGTGCCTCATTCTCTTCGGTGCGTGTTGGCTGGGCTCCACGGCGGAGTTGAAGCCAAGACCTGTCTAGATAGCCCATCAAAAAGCACTCTATGTGAGCCCACACTCAGAGATCTGGTGCTTCTGTGAAGTTCTTCATTACTGTAACTCATCATTTCATTATCTAACAAATGAATGGCAAACTACATGTATTTGCAAGTCATGCTCCCTGTGAAAAGGGAGAATATTGTCTTTGAAATGCTTTCAAAAATTGCACATCTACTATGTCGTTTTTAGCCAGGTGCTACATCATCAGCTAATAATCTGAGTGAAAGCTTTTCCATGAACCATCACAAAGGCCTTCTCTTGAGCGCATCAGCTCTGGGATGTTGTCTAACGCCCACATGTCCGGTAGCCATAAGCAGGGTGCTGCTTTCCCAACATGGGGTCAAACTTAGCGTTAAAACAGGGAATAATCAGATCAGCCAACTAGGGCTTTTTCTAATCGCCCTGATGGAAAAGCGTGGGTTTTTTCGGAGGCAGGAGTCAGCGGCAGGGTGAGTTATTGTGAAGTGATGGACTACCTCAGACCAGGAGCAATCAAAGAGATAGCCCTTGCATCTCCAAATTACTGCTGCCCGTGCCTCAGATTCATCAACGGGGTGCTGGTGGCGATGCCGGCCAGGAGGCTTCGTACAGTTGTAGGCCCTCACACACACACACACATACACACAATAGAACGAAGCACTCAGAATTATTTGTGGAAATGAAACCTCTGTAGCAGAAGACTGGATCAGTGCCTTCACCTTTTCCCACTCACTGAAATTAAATGACATTTATTTTCTGTGGCAACAATGCATGGGAAATGTTTCAAAACGACTGATTCCGGGAGTGATGCAATGAGGTGATTGATGGAAGTGATGTAAGAATCCGCGTGTGACATCTGTAAGTGCGTAAACTAATGGAGGAATTTCATTAGTCTCTTTTCCAGGATCAAAATCATTGCTGTTAAAGAATTCTTTCATCAACACTGCTGATATTGAGTGCAAAAAGCAATTGTGCGTAATACAAATAGCATGTAATTATGCTAAGAAGACGAGATGTTTTTACTCTGAATGCGGCATCGAATGTTTTCTTCACCTCATCTCACCTTCGCACTTTCTGAACCAGACAAACAAATGATGCATGATTGGATATTTAATTTAATTTATTTATTGATTGTCAGTTTTTCCACTCGGCTATCTCATACAATATTACCAGCGTTGGAGTACAGTCGTCCAAACTTGTCAAAGATGTGGCAGGTAGTGAAGACGGTCTTGAAGGGCTGAAATGATAAGCACATTGATTGGATGTCAGCAGTTTGAAAAACTGTTTTACACTCAGCAGAGATGGTGCAATTATTATATTTTTCCATTTAGCACACACACATACACACACACACACACACAGACACACAGAAGGAAAATGTTATTGCTCAAGAGTTCTCAGTTATGTCGAAGTATCAAGTCAATCGCAGACATGTCTCTTTAAAACCTTTAAGAATAACTTTTTGGGTCAGTAAGATTTTATTTATTTATGTATTTAAAGAAAATAATACTTTTATGCATTAAATTGTTCAAAAGTGACAGAAAGACAATACAAATGTTACAGAAGATTTCTATTTTAAATAAATGCTGCTCATTTAAGTGTTCTTTTCATCAAACAATCCTGAAAAAAGTATCACCGTTTCCACAAAAATATTAAGGAGCAGAACCATTTTTAACATTGATAATAAATATTTCTTGATTTCTTGAACACCGAATCAGCTTATTTTAATGATTTCTGAAGGATCATGTGACACTGAAGACTGGAGTAATGGCTGCTGAAAATTCAGCTTTGCATTCACAGAAATACATTACATTTTTAAATATATTAAAATAGAAAACATTAAAAAAATTAGAAAATTTTATTTTACATAGCAATAATATTCAATAATATTACTTTTTGTATATATGTTTTTTACTGTTTTTATGCAGACTTCTTTCAAAAACTTTCACAAATCTCACTGACCCCAAACTTCTGAAAACTTTTCTTTGGAGAAAAAAAAAATAGAGATCAAAATAGAGAAAAATGTATCTTCTTGCTAAGAAAAAAAGTGAGATATTAAAAAGATCCCATATGTGATTTTTCTTTCTTATAGATAAGATTTTAAATTTGAGCATTTTGCGAAAGTCGGGCTGGCGAGTAGCACTCATGCTCTAATGATGCAAATATGTGAGTAAATTGCATGCAAATCCATCTATCCATCCATTTTCAAAACTACTTGTCCAAAGTAGGATCAGGACAGATGGCCAGTACATCACAGCCATGCCAATCATTTCATTTCCAAACACGCTTAACATTTATTAAAACTTGTTTTTCTTTTTTTAACCCAAATGCTGGGTTCAGCCTGTTGGGGCCATTTTATTGGGTTATTTTTAATATTTTTACCCAGGTGCTGGGTAGTTTTTCTGTAACTAAGTTGCTGGGTCATTTTTAATGTTGGGTTATTATTATTTTCTACCCAACCGCTGAGTTGAGCCTGTCTCCGACGAAACAACCCAGCTGCTGAGTTACAGCCAGAGCGCGGGCTTTTTATGTCCACTACAGGGGAGAGCGGTTCTCAGTGCCGCCGATTTGGTGCACTCCTTAAGCAAAATAAAAGTTTGTATACATTTTATTTCATTTATAAAGTCTTTACTGTGCTGTAAATTGTATTATTTTGAGCAATGCAACATAAGGACGAGGTGTCAGTCAGTTGCATCAGCAGCGTTCGCTTTGCTTGATGGAAATGCCTTTTGCCTTGCTTAAAATAAATGGATTTTATTCATTATAATACTGAGTTTAATTTAATGTTAAAATAGGTTCTCTAATCTTAGTACTGTTTGTTTATGGGCAGGTTTTGGAGTCAGTCATGGCATCTTTCAGCTACGAGTGAAATGCGAGGCGGCGGTGGTATGAAGTTCGCAGTTCCCCCGTGAACAGCAGCCCTTCACCAGCTCAGATTTCAGCAACACACCAGGACACCAATTAGCACTATTTCGGTAAAAAGTGATTACAAAGAATGGTTGAATACATGTAAATTAAAATGCTACTTTTAAATGTTACATTGTAAATGACTAAAATGCTTGTTAAACGAGTTTAAATATATGTAATATTGTAAACTATACTGTATTCACCCAAATAAATTAAGTTTGTCTTGTATTTTGTCCATGTGCTCTTGCTTAATAAATGCTCATCTTTTGATTATTGCTGTTGCCTCTAGTCATTCTGTGTGTGATTTTTAATCTTCAGTCCATTTTAAGCCAGCAATACAATAATTTATATGGTTGACTTAAATAAAACAACCTAGCATGTTGGGTAAAAACATTTAACCCAACCAAGCTGGGTCAAAATAACCCAGCATGTGTTCTGTCCAATATTTACCCAGCGCTGGGTTGCCAAATAACCCAAGTTGGGTTGTTTTTAACCCAGCATTTTTTAGAGTGTACTAAAAGTTTATTCCGTTCACCAACAGTGCAGTGTATGACTACAAATATAAGCTATAAGCAAAACTAATATTGTATCTCTGGTTTATTTCCACTTAGATCTCAAATTAGGAGTTAAAAAGTGTTTAAAATGGCTACACGCAGAAAGAAAGACTATCGTTCTCTCTCTGCTCCCTTCCCTCGATCCCTGGATGACCATGCTAACCTCACACTAGCTGCTGTGACTAGCATTGGCTTTTCATCACTGCTATAATACATTCTCCCAGTCAGCCAGTTAATGATGAATACATGAGCCACAACAAATCCTGCCCTCTTTTTGCAGCACTGCACAAAATATCTGCGTCAGATATTTTTAGTTGGACTGGATTCAGCTTTTGCTAGTGGCCTAGTTGCTGCAGCAGCTACACAGGCTGTCTTAAAGCATCTCTCCAAGCACGCTGGCTCTCAGTGACCCCCCCTAGAGGCTGACCTGGTCTAAAACACGCCACCTTCATCTCCCCAACCGCTTTATAGAAGAGCCTGTGAGGAGCGTTGCTGCGTTGAAATGGAAATAACGGGCTGAAGTAAGAATTGGAAGAGGAAAGGGAGGTTGGGAGGAAGGCGATTTAATTATATATTAAATTTTTTTAAGACTAAAAAAAGCCTAAGTTGAGCAAGGACAAACTAATGTCATAGACTGGGGCGCTGACTGTTTCCCTCTGGCAGGCATGCATGTGATCCCTCTGTCAGTCAGCGTACGCCACCATGACAATCATCTGTGTGTCTTGGCCTCGGGAAACGCTGCAGCTAGCTGTCCTTGTAAACAGCACCCGCACTAACTCTAACAACTGCACAAGAAACGCAAAAGGACACTGTCTCCAAAGTGGAAAATAGATTAATTCACAATGTTCGCTATATGAACAAAAAAAAATCACATTTAAAAAAGATGTGATTATTGCAAAAACTTTGATTGTTGTTCCATAACAAAGATTAGTTGTACACGCATAATTAGATGACTAATGACTGATGCCACTCGGTGTAAATTGCTACAGTATGTATTAGTTGAACTACGACTGGTTTAAGGTTAATACAGGGGCATGAGAGACTAGTTGAGTTCGCAATTACAGTGGCAAAGACCAGAGGAAGGAGCAAATACATCAAAATGAAGAAGAGGAGGTATTCAGAGATAGACTGTGAATGACAGAACTCATTCTCATGGACAGAGGTGAAATTGGGGCAGCAGAAACATTTCAGAAACACTCATTTGTACTGACATACACTGACAAATAAGCGAGTTACATAATACAGATCATATTCTAATTAAGATTGACAAAGGTTTTGATTGTTTGATTGTCTTATTGTTATATGCTGCAAAATCATAAATGTATTAAAAATATATAGTATATATATATATAAAGAAAGACTATCGTTCTCTCTCTGCTCCCTTCCCTCGATCCCTGGATGACCATGCTAACCTCACACTAGCTGCTGTGACTAGCATTGGCTTTTCATCACTGCTATAATACATTCTCCCAGTCAGCCAGTTAATGATGAATACATGAGCCACAACAAATCCTGCCCTCTTTTTGCAGCACTGCACAAAATATCTGCGTCAGATATTTTTAGTTGGACTGGATTCAGCTTTTGCTAGTGGCCTAGTTGCTGCAGCAGCTACACAGGCTGTCTTAAAGCATCTCTCCAAGCACGCTGGCTCTCAGTGACCCCCCCTAGAGGCTGACCTGGTCTAAAACACGCCACCTTCATCTCCCCAACCGCTTTATAGAAGAGCCTGTGAGGAGCGTTGCTGCGTTGAAATGGAAATAACGGGCTGAAGTAAGAATTGGAAGAGGAAAGGGAGGTTGGGAGGAAGGCGATTTAATTATATATTAAATTTTTTTAAGACTAAAAAAAGCCTAAGTTGAGCAAGGACAAACTAATGTCATAGACTGGGGCGCTGACTGTTTCCCTCTGGCAGGCATGCATGTGATCCCTCTGTCAGTCAGCGTACGCCACCATGACAATCATCTGTGTGTCTTGGCCTCGGGAAACGCTGCAGCTAGCTGTCCTTGTAAACAGCACCCGCACTAACTCTAACAACTGCACAAGAAACGCAAAAGGACACTGTCTCCAAAGTGGAAAATAGATTCATTCACAATGTTCGCTATATGAACAAAAAATCACATTTAAAAAAGATGTGATTATTGCAAAAACTTTGATTGTTGTTCCATAACAAAGATTAGTTGCACACGCATAATTAGATGACTAATGACTGATGCCACTCGGTGTAAATTGCTACAGTATGTATTAGTTGAACTACGACTGGTTTAAGGTTAATACAGGGGCATGAGAGACTAGTTGAGTTCGCAATTACAGTGGCAAAGACCAGAGGAAGGAGCAAATACATCAAAATGAAGAAGAGGAGGTATTCAGAGATAGACTGTGAATGACAGAACTCATTCTCATGGACAGAGGTGAAATTGGGGCAGCAGAAACATTTCAGAAACACTCATTTGTACTGACATACACTGACAAATAAGCGAGTTACATAATACAGATCATATTCTAATTAAGATTGACAAAGGTTTTGATTGTTTGATTGTCTTATTGTTATATGCTGCAAAATCATAAATGTATTAAAAATATATAGTATATATATATATATATATTGACTTATTTAAGCTACAAGAGTTTATGTATTAATTTATTTTATTATTATTTATTATTTGTGATTTTTGTGTGTGTGTGTGTGTTCTTTTACGGCAAATTATTTTATAGATACATATTATATTCTACAATTTTATTTATAAATGAACGAATTAATGAATAATAACGATTGAAT